TAAACTCTTTTTTTTTTTTTTTTTTTTCCAGTTAGTTTTAGTGTAATGAAGGTACAAAAACAATAGTTTTAACGTTACAAAAGAAAATGCAGATGCAATACAGGAACATAGAACTTGGGACTTGCATATGAATCAAGGATATTGCATCAACATTCCCTATGCCATGATCACTCCACACAATAACAACAGATAATGATAATTGGAGGCAATATTAGGCTATTAGCTTGTCAAACTCAAAGGAAACCATGACTGTTACAATTGGCATCCTATTACCACCTCAGTAAAATCTAAGGAAAGTGGGAACAAACAAAAACGTTGCCTGCTTTAATACGGCATGGAAAATTTAGAGCTACAATACAGTTACACAAACAACTACCTCAATCAGTTAGTTTTTCCATCCTAGGATAATGCATAACAACAATGATATGCCAAGACTTTCAACTAAATAAAGCTTTATATCAAGTTATCATCATAAACACCGTAAAAAAGGAAAAGGCCAGAATTGATTTGCAATACGGACTTTAAGCAATATGTGAACTCTATCAACGCAAAATACATCATGAATCTGCTTCAACAATGCCATATGAGCACAGGGGAAATCAATCAACGTTCAACAATATCAACATCTTTAGGCGAAGCCACGTTACATATGCAGCGAATACAACAACAACAACAACATACCCAGTATATTCTCAACAGGTTGGGTCTGGAGGGTCAGTTGTACGCAGACCTTACCCTTGTAATTATACAAGAAGGTTGTTTCCGTAGCGACCCAAGGTGCATTGCGCCGTTTGATATATTTTTTTTTCTAGAAACTTCACTAATAGAAGAAGCACTAGAATTTAGTTGAGCCATTTTGATCTAGTCCATTATTAGCATTATGCCAGGATAATTGTCAACAGCTCCATTTGCAATGGACAAAGTTACATATGCAGCGAATATTAAGAAATTTTACAAAGGTGCTGGGAATTCGAACAGAAAGAAAAGTCGCGCATCTCTAGCTATTTTTCATCATTAACTATCAATGATGGGTGGATTCATAAGAAGCCCATGCTCAGAACCCTAAAATATCTCGAGTCAGTTAACTACAGCCACAAAAGAAACAAAGAAAAGATTGTTAAAAGCATGCTTGAAAACATTCCGAACAATTTATCCAGTCACATATAACTCCGATTCTGAAGCATTATGTCCATATACTTTTCTCTCTTCAGGAATGAGACATGAATACCTCCAGTAAAGATGAGATACAGAAATTAAGATTTATAGCAACACATTCCCGTCAAACGAACAGCAAATACACACAATATAGAATTTCAACATCTTGCCAATTATTCAAACCCCACCAACATTCACAAAACAACTTCTCGTGTACAAACCAGAAACCCAATTTCTGTGACACCATAAATAGCTAAAAAAACCCATCAAAATCCAAAACACAAAATTACCAAGGTGGATTGGAGCCTTCCCTCACCGAAGGCGACCTGGAACCCATGCTCCCATCTCGTCCCAACCTAGACATACTCCTCCCACTCTTAGGCGTACCCAGCCCAGGGCTCCCACTCCTGTAACTTGCTCTCAAGGACTCATCAATCGACTGTGAAGACTTTGCAATCGCATTCCTCATAAACTTCTGAGCTGCAGGCGAAAGCGTCCTTTTCCCAGGACTCGCGCTCCCTCCTCTAACAGGGGATGGCAATGGAGGCTTCTGGAACATTCTCGACCTCTCCCTGAGCTTCTTGGCAGCCTCCCGAGACAAAGAATGTGCCTTCACATCCCTTGAAGGTGGCATCGGGATTTTGAACTGGGGCCCATCCCCACTGCCCCCGATATCAATAGGTGTATCCTCTGGCTCTAGCCTCAAAGGGGTCCCCTCAATTTCACCCCACGTTATGAATGGGGACTCGTCTGCCCCAGGTGCAGGGGAAGGCGTCTTCACAAAGCTATAGCCATTGTCAGCCTTCCTCTCAGACTCGACATAGAATTTGTTGGGAGTTTTCCTCAGGTCGTCAAGGTCGTATTTTTTTGTCTTGTCACCATCTCGACTGGATATATGAACAGGAGTGGCCCCCACCACCGGCGAGTAGAGCACCGCAATAGTGTCGTCATCCTTTGGTGCATCAGTATCCATTGATTTTCCATGGAATCTCGTGTTTGGTCGGCTGATCTCTTTGGTCATTGCTTTCAGCCTCAGGGCTCTTTCCTCCTCAGTCAAGGGTGCCTCACCTTTATCAGCCGGGTGATACATCAGCAAGTTCTTGGGAGTGTATTTCCAGCCATCTAATGTGCTCACGGGCTGATCTGATGTCCCATAGCCATCGGTAGCATTTTTCTCCCGTTGCTTGCCGTTCTCAATCAGGTTACTCCCAGAATTTTCATGGGATGATCCGTCTTCTAGCAAGTACCCATACTTTTCCTTCCTTTTTCGATTCACTTTCTCCAGAATCTTTGAGAAGCTCTCATTGTCCTCACTCGTGTACTTCCTGAAAAACTCATCCAGGGACAAGGACACGTCTACCAGCTCCTTTCCTCCATCACCGTCTCCATCGAGCTCGTCTCCAACAAGATTCTCCTTCTGCTCGTTGTATAAGGATGGCGTGACAGAGGTATTCCGTAGGAAAGACGAACCTGGGGTTACTGTGGCGTGGCGGCTGGAATCGACGGCAGAGGTGGAGCTTCCGACTTTCCTCAGGCGACGTCGTTCGAGGATCTTGAGCTGCGCGTCTCGAATGAGCAACGGGTCGTGGGTTCGGACGGCCTGCAGCCAGTCGAGGCGATCTCGGAGCTTGGGGATGTCCGGGAAGAAGTCCCGCTCGATGATCTTCTCGATGGCGGCGACATAGGCGTCCTCGTCTAGGACGGTGGGGCTACGGCGGCGCTTTCGAGTGGCGGGATCGGGGTTGGAGGCTGAGAGCACGGCAGAGTTAGGGTTAGGGTTCGGATCAGAAGAACCGGAAGGAGAAGGTGAAGGGGTGGAGAGATGGCGGGGTGAGTGGCCTGGGGATAACAACATGATTGATTATCTCGTAGGGAGATGATTGAGAGTGAAATGGAGACGCAGAGATTTTGGGGATTAGGGTTTGTTATTTTGAGAAAATTGGGATCTCGGATTTTAGCAGGGAAAGGGAAGGGCCAAACCAAGTATGAGGCTCGGGCTTTCTCGCGAGAGAATTTCGAAATAAAGACTTTCTTTATCTTTTTTAAAATAATTTAGGTAAATTATTTTTTGCGTACTAATCCCAAATTTAGAGTATGTTTATTTATAGAAATTTTTTGATTTGTTCGGATTTTTTGATTTAGTTTGGTTAATTTTGAAAAATATAATATGGTTAATAGTTAGTATGTATATTAAAATAATATTAAAATAAAATAATTAAAATTGATTTCATGTAAAAGTTGAGTTAAAGTTAAGTTAAAAAAAGTAATTGAGTTAAAATGTTGGATTTTTTTAAAAAAAATTTCCATAAACAAACATGCCCTAAAGTTTTTGCAACTTAAAGGATATTTTGTACTAAATTGCAACTTTTAATACACGATTTTTCTGTATCGCAACTTCCGAACATTGACGGCTCATTTTCCACCACAAAAGCGAATGTGCGAGTCGCATGCTCGAAAGTTGAGGAAAAATTGCCATTTTATTTTACGTTCTAAGGACAATTTTGTTATTTCATCGTCTCAGCAGATTTATTAAAAAAAAACACACACATTCACTCTTACATGTTCATTTTTCTTCACCACCTGCGGTTTTCTTCTTCACCTGCAGAAATGACTTGGAGACAAACAATAGGCGATGGGTCAACTATGCAATTGTGGGATCAATGTTACAACGACATCGTGGAGTGTTCAAAATTCAGGAAAGAAATACGTTTCTTGCACAAAAAATCGGATAAGGGATTAATTAGATTAACCCTAATTTCTAAATTCGGACGAATTCAACAAACTCTCATTCAAAAAATTGGGCGAATTCAATAAACCCTATAGCTCCTGAAATTAATTTGTTTATTTCACTAAATTTTGTAGGATGATGGTGATTGTTTATATTATTCGTAGATTGAACAACCTTTGTGCCCTAGAGCTCGTGAAATCATTTCTGGTCTTTCGAAATGTGCCAACAAATTTGAAAGTGAAGCTCAAATTCTTGAAGTAGACGTGATGAGGTTGGAAGCTGAAGAAACTTCAATCTAATGTGAAAAAATTTCAATCAAATTTGAAAGAGACTGAAGCTTGTATTGAAAATGTTATGGAAGAAAGGATTAATCTTGAATTGTGTTTTAACAGGAAAAGTGGGTCCAAACTCAACTATCGTTAATATTATTAATATAATTAAATAATATCAAAAAATAATTCTTATACATTAAATCAATTTTAATCCATTATTGATGTGGCTCACATAATTTTAACTAATCATCACTCACATCATCTCTCTCCTACTTTTATATCAAATCAACTTTAATTATTTTATTTAAATATTATTTAATATAGCTTCAAAATCTCACTAACAACTAATCATACCAACCTTTTCAAAATTAACTGTGATTAACAAAAAAAACTCTTTTTTAGCGGATATATTCGTATACAAGCATGCTAGTTTAAGGTTCAAAATCTCGTAAGTTTTTCTTATCTTTGTTCTTTGAATTTTCTAGGGTAAAGGTAAAAACATTCATAAGTAGAATAAGGCAATAAGCTATCATCCTCGTAGACTGGAGAATATGCGAATTTGTTGTTGATTACGTGAACAGTAATTAATTAAATTGAGAGTTCGGTTAATTAATCGCGAGTGACGATTGCTTAATTATATATTTCTGCACCTTTGAGTGTCTAGGTCTTAGAGTTCTTAGTCTTTTTGTCTTCTAATTCTTTTTTATTGCAAATTGAGGACTTTCTTGCATTAAAGTTTCAATCTTGCTTACAATTGTGTTAATTAGCTTAATTCAATTACCAATTTGCGAGTATAATGTGTAGGAACAATTATTATTATTTTTTTTTAATCAATCATTGTTTGAATTAAACTCTGAACAACTTTTCTCGAGAGAAGCGACCCGGGGTTGAGATTTATCTCGTACTCAGCTAAAAACTACCAAACATTAGCCAATTTTCATTAACATAAGTAAAATTTTATTATCCACATTTTTTTCTTATGATAGAATAAAAGATTGGGTTTACTTATTTTTATTAATAATATTATACTATAACAAACTAATTGAATTCTAAATTTTGTTATCATAGTACGTTTTGTTATTCTTTTTTAAATGCACTAGAAATTACTCTCCTTTTTATATGGAATGAGAAATGATAGAATTTTGAGTGTATAACAAACTAATATAGAATTTTGAGTGTATTGTCTTAATGTTGCAGTTAACAAAACTTATATTAGCAAATTCAAAGTAAATTCTGTATATCTTTAAATTCATTTTTTATATTTAAATTTGTAAGTTTGTAAAATTTCAATTTTATATTTACATATGTAACTGTAAAAATTTGATGAATGGCCTATTAGCAGCAGGGGCNAATTGATTAGAATATATAAAAAAAGCTTTAACAAAAATTAGCATTAGATATTGTTGATATGCGCTTCAACAATTTGTTTAAAGAATTGAAAGGACTCGGTGAACTTGCAGAGAAGTTGGTGCAGACGAAGAAGCACAAAGTGCTTCCTTTAGTTTACAAACTTTTAACTTTGGCGTTAGTTTTACCGGTTGCAACAGCTAGCGTGGAAAGAGTGTTTTCCGCAATGAATATTATTAAGGATAGATTGAGCAATCGAATGAGTGATGATTGATTACATGATAGACTACTAGTTTATGTAGAAAATGAAACCTTCTTGAAAATTAGTAATGATGTTATTATCGAACGATATCAAGCCATGAAAACTCGTAAAGAACGACTATGAAGGTATGTTTTCGTATTTGCACTTTTCGTTATGATATTTTATATTTTTTTCATTAAGTAATTAGGCCCCCTCATTATATTTTCTAGATCCGCCTCTGATTAGCAGGTAACCATTTCACAGCTCTACTGTGCTTTTTCATATTTCCTTGTAAAGAAAATCCTGCACAAAATCAATCAGATCTAGTGAAACTAATTACTAAGATCACAATGCAATTAAATCCTTACTAAATCACAATAATTTGTCACCTTCTTTGGCCACCATGAAGCTTTTATAGTGAAACCATTATATAGACTCAATCAACCTTAAAAAAAAAAAAAAAAAAAAATAAANNNAAAAAAATTGATAGCTGGCTGTATGTGAAGAATACGAAGAATCAAGTCAATTTTGCAAGCTGTAAAAACAAGAATTCTGCTAATTTACAAAAATGTAACAAATATAAAATGAATGAATCATAAATATGATTTCACTAGTACCAATCAATCAGGTTACTTTCAGAACTCCAATGAATTATATTGTTGCTGAAAAGCAAAGTCTTGTTGTGGCAAGTCGGCCTGAAAGGTACCAATCTGCAATTAGATTACCGATATATATTAAGGTCAAAAGGCCAAAAATAATTATATAGATTATATATTATGTTCAAGAAAACGCGGAATGTGGGTAGATATATATATGTCACAAAGATGATCATTAATTTTGTATAAAAACATTTAGAGGCTATTACAAAAATGGCAGCACTCTTTTCATCCAGAATTTCCATCCTGCTATTTCTTTGTACTGTTTCTCTCATTAATCCCAGTTACAGTTCACATGAAGACAGAAAGGCAAGTACCAACATTCTCTACAACTCTAGATTTATAATGTATATGTTATTATGTTTTTTTTATGTTTCTTTAAAAATGAATATCATGATTTGCTATATAGGTGCTTGATAATTGTTGTGAAGTCATCATATATGAAATAAAATTACAATTGATCTCATCTTAATAAACCTTCTGTGTTGCATACATTTCGAACTTTTTTTTTTTAATAAATATGACAGTGATGAGATTACCCGCCAAGAGCATCCTTGATCCTTCTAAATTACTACTGATCATCTGAGTTATTTTTATCGCCTAGCTACAAAATGATTAATGTAGATATTCTGATACTCAAATTTATTATTATTATTATTATTATTATTATTATTTTATTGAAGTCATAAAAGAATTTGTGAATAAAGGTTTGTATAAGAGAAAAGGCAAAAACACCTCTTTTTCATTCACAACATTATAAAATTTGTAACATTTGTGACTAGCTAGACTCGTTGGACCCTCCTCATGCCTGTAAATAACTGTCTTAAGGCCAGATGACTCGAAACAAAATCCGGTCAAAATATTTCAATCCCATGACTCTGAAGTTTGGTTGATTTTCATTGGTGATCATGACTCGTATGAATTTTCGGCACGAGTTTGATCATAATTTCTTTTATTTCTTTATATATCCAAAATTGATAGTGATATTACTCTCTCTCTCTCTATGTATTGTTTGTTTGGAAGCAGGTTTACATAGTCTACATGGGAACTTCTGCTCAAACTCATGAATCAAATTCCTCATTTCATTTCAAGATGCTTCAAACAGTAGTTGACACCGGGTAATTAAATATCACTACCTTCACATATATATAAAACCAATCCTGTATATATTTATATGTTAAAAAAAATCATTTGATCATTTTATCTGTACAAGATTTCTGAAGCAATCACTAGTGAGAAGTTACACGAGAAGTTTCAACGGATTCGCAGCCTACCTCACTTCTCAAGAGCGCGATCAGTTGGCTAGTACATCTTCTTTTCCCTAAAACATATTTATATATATATCATATGCAAAATTGCAAAAACGAGTCCATTAATCCTAATCAAAATGTTATTTCATATTAAAGGTTATTTTTGGTAAAACTAACTGATAAGCTAGCTGATAGCTTATAAGTGATTTTCGAGTTTATAACTGGAAACTTAGCTTATATGGTAAAGAGTAATGTTGTTTAGCCTACTTGGATGACAACTTAGGTTACAACGCAAGTTGTAAATGTATTATCAAAAAGTTATAAAATAATGCATTTACATTTGAGTTGTAACTCAAATTGTCATTCAAGTTGGCTCTATAGCATTATTATATGATAAGTGTTCGGTAAAATTAGCTGATAAGCTAGCTGAAATAAAAGTTTCGACTAACTTATTTGAAAAACTACCTAAAAAGGCTTATGAGATAAGCTTAAACTTGTTAAAAAAGCTCGTCCTACCAACGAAGCATATTTGAATACAAAAAACTTATAAATTAACTAATAGTACCAAACATGCCTAAAACTGACTAACTGGCTGCATTTAACTCAGGTAATGAGCAAGTCCTATCAATATTCCCAAGCATAACCTATCATCTTCACACCACAAGATCCTGGGATTTCATGGGATTCCCCGAAAACGCCAACCGAAACCCGAGCATCGAGAGCAACACTATTGTCGGCGTGATCGACAGCGGAATCTGGCCGGAATCCGAGAGCTTCACCGACAACGGCTTCGGCCCTCCTCCCACCAAATGGAAAGGAGCTTGCAATGGCGGACTCAACTTCACCTGCAACAAGTACACACACACTAAAACACTCCACACTCTCCCTTCACACCCTCTTAAAAAAAAAAAGATTTAAACAATTATTTTTAATCATGCCATGTCAGCAAATTAATCGGCGCTCGCTACTACGCGGACGACTCAGCAAGGGACATGATCGGGCACGGGTCCCACACAGCATCGACGGCCGCAGGTAACCTTGTCCCGGGGGCAAGCTTCTACGGCATCGCGGGTGGAACTGTAAGGGGTGGGGTCCCATCTGCCCGCGTGGTGGCGTACAAGGCGTGCAGCCTGGACGAGTGCCAGACGGACGCCTTGCTGGCGGCTTTTGACGACGCGATTGCTGATGGGGTGGATTTAATCTCAATCTCCATTGGGGGAGCCCCAATGGAGCTTGAGGACGATGTGGGGATTTCCCTTGGGGCACTCCATGCATTTCAGAGGGGTATTTTGGTCGTTCAGTCGGCCGGGAATAAAGGGACTAAAGGGACTGTTGCTAGTGTAATGCCGTGGATTTTTACGGCTGCAGCTGCTACTACTGATAGGGGGGTTGTCACGAGAGTTGCTCTCGGAGATGGGATGACATTTACGGTAGTTTCATTTTCTCTTAAAATAAAAAAATCAGCTTTTGCTTTTCATTGTGTGATGATTGTGTGCGTGTTTGCAGGGGAAGGCGGTGAGCTCGACTCCCATGGGGAGTTCGACGGGCGTGCCGGTGGTGTATGGGAAAAATGTTTCGGGAGCATGTGACGATTTTGCCCTCTGGTAAAAATTTGAATTCCGTTTTGAATACAATTTAATTTATGCAGAGGATATTTGTGTTGAAAATGGATATTTGTTTCAGGAGATGTGACTCGCAATGTATGCAACCGAGTGTAGTGAAGGGAAAGGTCGTGCTGTGCAATGACTATTATGGCGTGAGGAGGGCATTTACAGCTGGAGCTGTTGGTGTGGTTGGTACACTTGAATCTTTTCCGATAAAATTACCTTTCCCCATGGATTTTTCCCAGGTCAGCCCACTTGCCTCGTCCCACCTCAACGACCACGACTTCCAACATGTCCAGACCTACTTCGAGTCCACAAAGTAAATAACTAATTGTCGTCCTACTTTCGGGCGATTTTTTTGTGAAGGAGAAATGCTTCTACTGAATCAATACCATTTTTTTACTACAGATCTCCAACATTGGACATATTGAAGAGTGAATCTATACGGAACGTCGATGCCCCTAAGGTGGCTGGATTCTCTTCGAGAGGTCCAAATGTTATCCTGCCAGATATTTTGAAGGTAAACTATATTCTAATTTTGTTTAAATAAAAAAGACAATCATTCGGTTTTCTCACGCTTCACGACTTCCACTAGCCAGAGTTGTAAAACTAATATTGAGCAACTTCTAATATTATGCAAGTAATTAACATTCTGATAAAAAAGAAAAATACTATATTATTATTTGCATACAGCCGGACATCACAGCACCTGGTGTAGAAATACTGGCAGCCTTTTCCCCTTTGGCCTCGCCTTCAGATTACCCTTCAGATAAAAGATCCGTAAAATACAGTATAATGTCAGGAACATCAATGTCGTGCCCGCACGTGACAGGTGCAGCTGCTTACGTGAAATCATTTCATCCTGATTGGTCACCTTCTGCAATCAAATCGGCTCTTATGACAACAGGTATTGTTCTTCAACTCCAATAATGGCAATTCAATTTTTTTTATTAATCTTCTTATCCTTATTTCGCGTAGCAAGGACAATGGACGCCTCGAAAGATCGACTAGCCGAATTTTCCTACGGAGCGGGTTACATTGACCCGGTCAAAGCGGTCGACCCGGGGCTGGTGTACGAGACGTTCACGGAGGATTACATCAGCATGTTCTGCGGCTTAGGGTACGACTCCGCAAAAGTGAGGAGAATATTTGACGGGAACGCGTCCTGTCCTCGGGGGCCTCTTCTTAAACCAAAAGACCTCAATTACCCTTCCCTGACCAGACAGATCAAGACGCGGCGCGGGGACAAAGCCCCGGCGTTTATCGTAAAATTCAGAAGAACCGTCACTCACGTGGGGCCCGGAAGAGGCAGATACACTGTGACGACGAGTGTGGGCCCGACCCATAACATCACGGTGCAGCCGAGGATCCTGAGGTTCCGCAAGCCGGGGCAGAAGAGATTGTTTAATGTGATAATCGCTGGGGTTGTTGACAAAGGGATTATGCTGTCGGCTTCTTTGGTATGGTCCGATGGAGTGCGTAAGGTTCGGAGTCCGGTAGTCGTGTACCGTAATCATCTTTGATCGGCGTGCGTCGTCGTGGCTTGGCCGTGATTTGTGACTTTAATTTTTTAAGGAAATGTTAGATTTCTGTGGATCTATGTGCTATGAGGGTTTATTTGATCGTGGTGTGGTAATCTTGACATATTTGAATTTGAGTTGATACAAGTCAATAATTTGTGTCCAACAAAATTCAAAAATAAAATATGAACATGACAACCTCATTCTCAAATTCAAAAAGAATATTCTCAAAATATTTTTTTTATATCATCTTTACAAATTTTAAATAATACCTACATATTTTAAAAAATTTATAAATTAGACCCTAATTATTTATATTCAATTGAAAAAATAATAAATTAATTGTAAATTAGTAATATGTATTAACAAAAATATTGACTAAATATTTTTCCAGTAAGTAAAAAATTACATTATTATTTTTTAATAATATTTTAAAAAAGTTTTATTATTTGAATTTATTATCAGTATTTTTTTAAACCCTTCACACATTAATTCAAGCTTTTTTAGGAATGTCCTAGAAATTTTTACATTTACTTTCATAATTTTTTGACTAGAATCAAATGAATACACCAGAGACAAATGTAACAATTTGAGACCTTCAACATACAACAAAAACCAACCGCAACAGATCATAAAGAAGAAAGTTAGTAGACCACTAAACCACAAAAACCAATAGCAGCAGATCGTAAAGAAGAAAGTTAGTAGACCACTGAACCAAGGGACCTAGTCTACTCACTTCCCTCAAGACCCAACAACATTCCACTTGTGTGAAGTTGTGAATTTTATCCGATCTTGTAGAGTTGAATTGGAAATAGCTCTTTATGGCTTCCAGACATTTTGAAACACCCAGAGTTTTCGTGCTTTCCAAAGCCACCATAGTAAATAAGGACTGAGATTAATTTGTGCTTCAGAAATATCTATGATCCAGTAAAGACACACATCACAACCACTCTCTCAAACTTCTTGATTCTGAATGGATGTCATCCCAACTTATTGGAGAGCGTTTCCATACTTTTTTTTTGCTCTGATGCAGTCAAAAAATAGGCGTTCTATACTCTCAGCAGCGTCACCACAGCATTTGCAAACATTATCCACCTACAACCCTTTATTCCTTACATTCAAACTAACTGGCAGGACCCGTAAAAGCATCTCCACAAGATGTGCTTTAGCTTCCCTTCAACTCTCAACTTCCACCACCTCTTTAAATTGATATAATTCAACAATTTTCCTTATTTCACGTAGCAAGGAACTTCTTGATTCTGAAGGATGTCATCCCAGCTTATTGGAGAGATTTTCATATTCCCTCTTATTCAAAATAAGTGTCGAGAAGTTGTACAATAATTAAAAATATTTTTTTGCCAATAATAGCCTTCATTAATGAAGATAGAGATAAATGTTTTGAGAAAAGATGAAGAGTGCATATGAAAAGGCCTACTTGTATTTATTAGCTAAATGAGAGTAATAATGGAAAAATACACTACAACAAAATTATCAAATTTCAACGGAAAGTTCCAATACAAATATATTTTAGTGGAATTCCAACGGAAATTCCAACCAAAATATTCCGTTTGAATGATTTTTCCATTGGAATTTTCGTTAGATTTTGAAGATTTCAAAGATAGATTTTCCAACGGAGGTGGAAATAAAAATTCCAACGGAAATTGCATTTTTTAACGGAAATTCCTACGGTAAAAAACCGTTCAAAAAAAGCCGTTGGAATCATCAAATTCCATCTAAAATTTCAATGGAAATTCATTCCAACGGAATATTTTCTTTGGAATTTTCGTTAAAATGATTCCAACGAAAGTTATACCATTGGAAATTCCGTTAGAATTTTCGTTGGAATATATTATCGTAGGATTTTCCGTTGGAATATAACATTTTTTTTTTGTAGCGATATGTACAAAATATCTAAAACGTCATTTATTTGGTTAATGGTTGATAAATTCAAAATGACGTTTAAAAAGAATAAAAGGTATTACTTTTTTGGTTGTGATGCAGTCAAAAAATAGGAGTTTTATACTCTCAGCAGCGTCTCCACAGCATTTACAGACACTATCCACCTACAACTCTTTATTCCTTACATTCAAACTAACCGGCAGGACCCCGTAAAAGCATTTCCACAAGAAGTGCTTTAATTTAGCTTCCCTTCAACTCTTAACTTCCACCACCTCTTTCTTGGTTGTTTGTCTATCAGAGCTGAATTACTTTTTTATGCCCTATCCAAGAGTAAGACTTCTCCAGAAACAAATTTTGAATAAGAAACAGCCGCCAAAAACTTCCATGTTTGTTCAAGAGACCACATCCATGATCCATCTATCCTTCATTCCTGGGTTCGAAGTTTTGATCTTGAGAATTTTACACTGTCTTCTTCATGATAATGATTATTTTATAATTTATAACTTATTTATGATAATTTAATAATAATTTATTTATGATAATTTGAACATAATTATAGGTGAATTTCAATTTAGGCATCCAATAAAAATGATAGAATGTTCAATTGTTTTTCAAATGCTTCAATTTTTAATAGGACATACGGAATGTTTAAATAAAGTAATACTATTTTGCGGAAAAATTTTAATATATTTATTTATAGAATTCTTTTAATAATATATAGATATAGATTATTAAGGTTCTCAGTAAAAGGAATTTTTTATTAATGATAACTTCTCACTTTGTAGGGAGTTCAATATGAACTCGAAAAGTTCATGGTTCGAATTAATAATAATGCTCATTATTCATCAAGCATGTAATAGCCTCAACAAATCTGTGGCCAATTAAAAAAATCTCAGCTTTTCATATATTCCTTTGCTAAAATGTCGAAAGGAATTTATTGGTACTTAAAAGTCCCTCACAACTAACCAAACAATGGAAATCAAACTAAGACTATAAATCACATATTTGACAGAAGAAGTGCATTCACAAAAATCATTTGTTCCTTGTTCTAACAAAGGGAAAACAATATGGACAGATTTAGCAGTAGATTTCGGTATTGTTTTATGTTTGTGTTGTGCAATATCATTTGCTTATGCTCGGGTGACACACAAGATGAAAGACAGGTAAAGAAAAATTCCAAATATGTTATATTAAAAATATTTTATTAATTTTGAAAAAAGCATTGAGGTTCAACATGAAAATTAAATATCCCCTCATATTACTTTATATTTTAGTTATTTTTATAATTGGGGATAAAATTACGCCAGAAATGATTTTGTCAAACTCCTCCATAAATTTGTAATGTTGTAGTGTTTAAGGAATTCATTTTGAATCGAAATATTTAATTGCAACTTTTCTGCTCTGATCACTACTTAAGTGCATTCTTAGGTTTACATTGTTTACATGGGCGCTTATCCTGAGGGATACGATTCACCTTACAATGGTAACAAACTTCAAGAGCAACACGTAAATATGCTTCAACAAGTAGTTGATGAAAGGTAACATTCATTTGGCAAATATCATCAGGAATAATAATCTCAGAATTTATGGGTAATACCTCTAATTATCTCAGACTTTTTTTTTTTTTTTTTAATCTTTTTAAATTTGTATTTGCACATAGTTCTTCTATAATTACTTCTTACTAGTCTATCAAATTGATTGTGTAGATGAATAAAAGTTTGAGATTAATTTGGAACTTTCCTATTATAGCTTTATAAGCGAGGCACTAGTTCGAAGTTACAAAAGAAGTTTCAATGGTTTTGCTGCCTACCTTACCAATCAAGAACAACAGAATTTAGCCAGTAAGTTATTTATGCTTTCCACATTAACACATATGAAATAGCTAATCATATGCAATTTTCAGTCAGTAAGAAAATGTTTCTGCAGAACATTCTTAATTTCACCAGAATACAAGTATCTCATTCCCTGTATGTATAATATTGAGACTTTCACATAGTTGTTGTCACTAGTATACACATAGTACATTTGATTAAGGGATTTCAATCAAATACAGTCGAATTAAAAATCCCACATTTCAGACCAAGCTACATTTTTTGAATAATCACTTGAATGTTATTGCAAATTGTGCATGAACAAGATAAAAATTCGTTGCCCAAATTCTTCTGAAATTCATCTTTTTGAGCTTGCATCAAATTGGACAGCTACATTTTGTGCTCCTACAATCTTTGTGCAGATCTTAAGGAAGTGGTCTCGATTTTTCCGAGCAGAACACTTTGGCCTCAGACGACAAGATCATGGGACTTTGTCGGATTTCACGAAAATGTTGATCAACATTCAAATACCGCAAGTGATATCGTAATAGGTGTTCTTGATTCCGGAATATGGCCAGAATCCGAGAGCTTTAGCGACCGAGACTTCGGTCCTCCGCCCAAGAAATGGAAAGGGGTTTGTAATGGCGGCAAAAATTTTACCTGCAACAAGTAGGCTCTTTCATCTCTCTCGTCATTTTCTTTTTCTGTTTGCTCTCACTTAATTATGCTGCGAAATGACATACTTTTGTGTGTTTGATTGAGTATAAAAGTAAGCACATTTGACAAAACCAAAATGACGAGCAGCTAAATTCCCACAGTAAGTGATAGAGTTAAGGGTGAAATTAAACGAAAATAAATTGATAATCGATATTATTAATTAAGAAATTACTCGAAAATAAGCCGACACTTCTGGAAGGAACTTCCGCCCAAGCTTAAAGCCGATAATCCCCTTCCCCTTTTATATTAATTCAGAATGTGTTGAATCTATGTGGCAGACTCGCATGCTTCGAGATCCTATGTGGCAAAATCACATGCTAGACTTGGATAGATTTAATTTACTTCTAATCCAAAAATATTTAAGTTCGGATTATCTATAAATATGTTGATTATTTATGATAGGGGTGAGCGCGGTCCGGGACGGTCTTGGATTTGACTTGTCCAGATACCGATCCCACTTTTATGAATCGGTCCATGAACGACCCGGGATGAGACACCGTCTCCACCCATGTAACACATGGTTGTTGTACTAGTATATATATATATATATATATATAGGATGTGGTTCAAATAAGAACCATGTTCTAGCGTGAGAACGGTGAGAACCGCTATTTTTAATTATATGTAGTGCTATGAATGATTATATTTTAGTGCTATTATTAATCAGGATGTATTTTTTTAAAAATAGCAACACAATTTATGTTAGCATTTGTGAAAATGATAGCACCATGTAAGATTAAAAATAGCATCAGACACATTTAAAAGTAGCATCGAATATAGTTCTCACGGTTCTCACACCAGGATTAATTTTTATTTGAACCAACCCCTATATATATATATATATATAAAGGTTTGATTACTTTTTAAATAGTAACTATTTCCCTCCAAAAATATCTATTTACTATCTTGGGAAATTAATTTAACAATTTATGGTATATTTCAATAATCACCTATGGAATTGCGGCTCATTATTTAAGGAAATAATTAAATCAAAATACACATTGATTACGGTAAGAATTATTAAAATCCAGAATTATATTAGGAACTATTAAAATCTGAGATTTTAAGCAACACATTGATTATATTAGTGACTATCTAATTGATTAAATTAGCGCTTATTTAAGGGTAGGATCCATTAACACGTTATTGATATAGTTGAAAAGGTTTAGAAATTATTTGTTGGCAAAAAGAAATAAAATCACAAAAATCAAATTTATCTGATTTACTAAAATCTGTTTGTATGCTACAATCACTAGGAATTATTAAAATCAGAGACAACACATATAGTACATTCGTGATTATTCACATAAATATTTAAATATATAATAAGATTCTACCAAAATAATTATTTTATGGAACCACATTGTATTCAAGTAGAATTTCAAAAAAAAAAAAATTAAAATGACATTTATTTCGAAATAAAAATAATAAAATTTATTATCAGTTATGTGCACTGTACGGGTTGTATACTAATTTTAAATAGACATGTTTTATGCAATTTTGCACAATTTAAATTTCATATAATATTTTAAATAAATTAATAAAGGTAAATTATATTACATATTGATTTTATATTTTAATTTGTAGATATTATTTAATAATCATTTAATTTATAAATAATATATCTTACCCGTGCATCGCACGAAATTCGTACTAGTTTTATTTTAACACAATCTAATTTATGTATCAAATACTAGTCTATTCAAATAGAGCCCTAATTATAACCCTAATTGATATTCTAAGCAAATTGGCCCAAAACCCCAATTATTGAAATATACTAACAATTGATCTCGAACAGTAAGCTGATCGGGGCCCGCTACTACACCTCCAGCGACACTGGTGCCAGGGACGAAGTCGGGCATGGTACCCACACGGCCTCGACGGCGGCCGGAAACCGAGTGGCCGGCACGAGCTTCTACGGCATAGCGGACGGGACGGCCAGGGGCGGGGCCCCATGGGCTCGGGTGGCGGCGTACAAAGTGTGCGAGACGGGTTGCCACGAGGCCGACATACTAGCGGCGTTTGACGACGCGATTGCGGATGGGGTCGACATCATCACCATATCCGTGGGGTCCACCATAGCCAGGGACGTCAAGTACGACAGCATCTCAATCGGTTCCCTGCACGCCGCCAACATAGGGATCCTCACCGTTCACTCTGCCGGGAACAACGGCTTCTCGCCCGGGACTGTCACGAGCGTGGCCCCTTGGATCTTCACCGTTGGGGCCAGCACCATGGACCGTGGGATTGTCACCAAACTAACTCTCGGGGATGGAAAGAAATTTGATGTAAGTAATGAGTTTGGATAATGTGTAGACCTTTTTTTCTTTAATTTATTTATTCTTTACATTTTGTTTGAACAGGGAAAATCAGTGAATTCATTTAAGATGAAAGGCAGTAAATTGCCACTAGTGTATGGGAAAGATGTAACTAGCAGCTGTAGTGAAACTAGTGCCAGGTAGATTTTTTTTCAGATTTTGAATCCTACAAATATCCAAATCTTTGTTTTATTTTATTCTTTAGATATGATGATATGAGTGGAGATATAATTCTTGTCTTCTCTTCTCCAGGCTCTGTTCTCCGGGGTGTCTAAACAGTAGCCTCATTACTGGAAAAATTGTTCTCTGTGACGACCCAAAAGGCATAGAAGAGGGTCTAAATGCCGGTGCTGCTGGAGTCATCTCAAAACAAGGCATAACTCCTGATGTGTCCTTTGTAGTCCCTCTGCCTGCAACCACTTTAGTTACTGACAACCTCAAATTAGTCCAAGACTATGTCAACTCCACAAAGTCAGTATATATTAATCCATTCTTTTCCAGTTTTCACTCAATTGAAAATTTATCACAGTTTTCATTAACATTTTTTTTTTTTTCCTTTGGTAGAGATGCTAAAGCATCTATAGCGATAAGTGAGCCCATAAAAAACACAGATGCTCCTCTGGTGGCTAGTTTCTCTTCAAAAGGGCCAAATATTATTATCCATGATATCTTAAAGGTATAGGGACTTGGGAAAGATTTTGAAGTTGCGTTTTAGTGTTTTCTGGATTTTGATTTTCTGTAACATGAAGAGATATGCCGAAATGTAGCCAGATATAACAGCCCCAGGTGTGGAAATCTTGGCTGCATATTCACCAGAAGCACCTGCTTCAAACTACGCCTCGGATAAAAGATCCGTTAAATACAATATTCTTTCCGGCACATCAATGTCATGCCCACACGTGACTGGTGCAGCTGCTTACGTGAAATCCATCCATCCTGATTGGTCCCCTTCTGCAATCAAATCCGCCCTCATTACAACCGGTAAATTTTAAACACGCAAAAATGTTATCTTGTGAATATACAAAAATACTTCCTTCACATCTTCAATTTATTTATTTATTTTCTTTCAAAATTTTCCAGCCTGGCGCATGGACCCCACAAAGCACAAAGACGCGGAGTTTTCGTACGGGGCAGGGCACATAAACCCCATAAACGCAACAAATCCCGGGCTCATCTATGAAACGAGCACAGAAGACTATATCAAGCTACTCTGCAAGATGGGTTATCCCTCGGAAGTGGTCGATAAGTTATTCCAAGACAATACCATCAACTGCTCGAAACTCCAGCCAGCTGAGGTGGCGGACATGAACTACCCCTCGATGACTAAAGGTGTGAAAAGCGGCACGGCTAGTTTTTCGAGGACTGTCACGAACGTGGGGTCGCCAAATTCTACTTACACTGCTAAGGTTGAAAAAGCTCCCGAGTGTAGTAGTGTCACGGTGGAACCCACGACACTCACGTTCGGGCAGTTGAACGAGAAGAAATCGTTTGTTGTCAGCGTAAAATGCGATCATCGAGCAATATCGATGGCTTCTTCCTCACTCGTGTGGTCAGATGGTGTTCATTCTGTGCGGAGTCCGATCGTTGTGTACGTGAATCAAGTCTTGTGAAGTGTTGTTTTTTATGCCACAACTTGATCTTTGTTGGGGTGAAGCTAATGGTTGTGTAACAATCTTGACTAAGGCAGGGAATAAAATTTAATTTATATATATACATGATTAAAAGAGGGGATATTACTTGCAATTTAAATATTTTGCTACAAGTGCAAGTTGAGAAACCTATTTCTCACCATAAATATGTATGAGAGTCATTTTATGGAACTTTACCAAGCAGCATCACATCGGCTCTGACCAATCATAAGCCTTCATGGGTTTGTTGTACTATCAAGATATTCAGATAATTTCTACTGAGATATCCTAATTCCCAAGGAGAATCCAACTATAGTTAAGAAATTGGATCAAGAACACAAGTATGAGAATTTCAACATTTTTCCATGAGCACGTCCAGAACAAATAGAAGCCAAAATAGTTGAATACCCATGGATTTTGTTCAATAATCTGGTACATTTCTGCGTTTACTTTATTTAGTATCTTCCTAAGAACAGGTTCCAGCTTAAGCGACCAAATAAAATCAGATATTTGGTTATAGCCAACAGAACTACCATGTATTGTTAGCATAGATTCTACATCATCCATAACACTATAACCAATTTTTGCTCTTGAATATTATTTATATATCAAATATGTCGAATATACATTTTGTCTGGCCAGCAAAATTTATACAGTAAAAATCACAGAGTTAATAGTGTCCTCTTTCTCATACATTGCCGTATATACATACAGAATATGAACTGTACGTGAGTCTGTGAAACCCCAATTTCAAGTGACCTAATCCAGTTGCCAGTCTCACTAGTCAATTTCGCATTTACCATAGATGCTCCAAATCAAGAATGACTTCAATGCAAACCTAGACCAAAACTTTTTTGCACTTGTGTAGGATGATAAATCTGATTTCACTTTCCTATTTATTTTACTTCCCAAACCTTGTAATCTTTGCCCTCAATGGCTAAAGACCAGTTTTTGGCATCATTGGAAGGTTCATAGTGACCGGGTCCAATCTTCACTGCCAACTTTTCATCAATCACTGCAGCATACACGTCTCTCTCTGCCTTCATTATTTCAACCTGAATAATATATGAAACATGCAAAGGCAATTAGGTTAAAAAGTTAAAAAGTTATACTTAAATGCATTCCCTTAAGATAGCTGAATCACAAA